CCACCAAGTTTCATACTGTATGTAAGCCAAACCAAACCTGAGGATGTGACTGGAAGAGTTCTTCTTGTTGGATTTTAAGTGTTAACACACTGGAACTGGTTAAAAAGGAGAAATAATGATTTCTCAGACTGTCACTGGGGATAATATGCTTGTGTTTGTGTGTGTGTGAGAGAGAGGGGGGATCGGTGTGGGTTAATGCACTAAAAGCTCCTCTGAGCTCAAACATGCAATGAAACCGTTCTCTGTGATAGGCTGGAACCGCCAACAGATCACCGGCACTCTATGAATGAAGCCAGTAGTGTCTGTTTGGAAAGTATTGAGTCTTTATGTTTCCGTCAATGCAAATGGACAATTGCAGCTGATGATTCGAATGATCATCATCATTACATAAGGGCGGTTTGTGATTCTCAGCAGCATGCTGCGGCACCCAGAGGGCAGATCGATCAGAAAGGCAGAGAGGTTAAAACAAACTCAGCATCCGCCTGATGTAACTTCTTCAAACAGCTCTGCTGTGCCAACTGTGAGAACCAGGTTCTTTTAATCATTTAAACCTATCCGTTTACTGTTCTGGTTTCATCCTAGACATGAACATCTCACATATTTTAGAAATTGATGCTTTCAACCCCATTATTTTTTTTTTTTCCTTGGAGGAATAATAACTCATCGTGCAGCTTAGTAAGTATAATGGTTAAAGTGTGCAACACTGATTTTCTCCAGCTAATAAAATTATTGAATTGTGCATATTGGCCCAAATATGCAAAATTGTCAAAAAAATGTTTTGATAAAGGGACCATAAAAAGTTGTAGTCCATAATTATTACTCATCTTTGCTGTTAAGATTGAGGTTTTGGGAAGGTCATTAAAGAAGCTTGGTTTTGGTCTATTGTAACTTCAACCACTGTTTGAGTTTTAGGTCATTCTACACCAATTTTAAGCTGTCAGCCTTAGTTGAAACAAAACGTATCTTCTACAACTTGAAGTCTGCTTCATAAAGTGAAAGGCTGGAGCACCAGTGCCTGTCATCTTGCACTGAATGTGAGGTTATTTATCTCCACTAAGTCATTAGAGCTCATCTGCCAAAAGACTTTAAAATCAGATCACAGGACATCAAATTGTTTTTGCATTGAGAGCATATATACAAGTGCCTTAAAAGTGAATCATAGGCTACCCACTGAACCTTTTTTTTTTTCCATTTCATCACATTAAATAAACTTCACTGTACTTTATTAAGATCCTATGTAGCAGACCAAAACATGGACACTTTTTTTGAAGAAGAAAACTCTTTTTTTTTTCAACCATGTTTCTACCAGCGTTATTCTCAAAAGTAACCTTTGCCTCCAACCTCTTTTAATCTTCAGTTTCAGACATGTGAAGCACAAGCTCTGAAGCTCTGCAAGTTTGCTTTTAGCTTTCGCCTGGTTTTAGCTGTTTCTGCAGTCGGCTGCAGGAAATAAAAGTGCAGTGAATCCAGCAGGCAGGTTGTATCTGAGTTTTAGTGTCTCCAGACTCAAAGGTCCCGTGTGCCTCTACAGTAATTGAGTTGAACTTAATTAGGACATATTAATTAAGTAGGTGGAAAATTGTATTTAGCTGTTAAATACAAAGGAGTTTAACATCCAGTGAAATGTGGTCTGTTGATCATGTATACGGGCCTGTATGATTTAAGATGAGCATATTTACTTGTTTTTCCACTTGAATTCTACTCATTTTAGAAAGATGTGTGAATAACCTTAGTTCACCGAAGGGTTTATTCCACCTTGCTTCCATTGCTCGGCTCAGTTTTGCTTAATCTGCTCTGCTCCTCCCAATCATGAAAAAATGAATAATACATTCTTATAAGAACTCTGAGTATTTGACTCTCTAATCTAAGGTAACCAAAAGTGAGTGACCTCCAGCTGTTAGATATATTGACGAGGCTTATTACACTCAAGTTTCTATATGAGCAGGAGTCATTCAAAGCTGCCACCAGATGGAGTCCTAAACTAAAGCCATCTACTAAAACGCTTTTTGTTTTCTGCTCTAGTAAAGTAAAATAGCAACTAGGGAATATTTTGCCTTTCTGCAAAGTAAAGAACTGATCTATATTTAACTTTGTATGTTTGAAACCTAGCACTTAAAAAGTGAATATTATTATAATAGGTCTATTTGTACATAACTTGTACAAATAGACCTATTATAATTCATTTTAGAGATAAATTCAATTATATAGTATAGTAGGCCTACATATGGCCAAAATGCTTCACAGATAACTACAAATTATCAAAATATAAAGAATAAATCTGTAACATAATAAATGGATAAAACATAGGTTTCTGATAGCTATATGGAATATTGACCTAATCAAAGGCCAGTAAAAAGATAAGCTTTTGAATTTTTAAATCATTTCATGCTCTGAGGAGTGTTAAAATCTAAAGGAGTGCAATCATGAATGATCTGTGTTGATTTATTTTTGCTGGGAATATACATTTTCTTGTCGTAATGCTACAAAATGCAAATAAATGAATAATAATAATAATATATATATATATATATATATATATATATATATATATATATATATATATATATATATATATATATATATATATATATATATATATATATGCAGAACAGCAGCAGGGATAGTGCATCGCCCTGGTATATGCCGCACTTGATGGTGACTTGTGCAATTGGCTTTGCATTGGCTTCCAGACTTGTTTTCACAGCTTCATTGAGTTCGTGATGAAGGCTTTTAGAGTCCTGTTGATCTTGAACATTTCCAAGCTTTCCAGTATCCATGTATGTGGCATTGAGTCGTAGGCTTTCTTATAGTCAATCCGGGCAGTGCACAGATTTGTCTGCCTGGTCTTACAGTCTCAAGTGAATGCTCTATCCACTAGTAGCTGGTGCTTGGCTCCTCTGGTGTTACTGCCTATAAGGAACGGGCACATGACGTCACACGTTGCGCGGCAGCCATATTGAAAGCTGGTCAGCCCATTGTTTACACTTCGACTTCGCGCCTGTAAGGACTTGCTTTCTTCTGCTAGTAGTTTGCTTAGTTTTTTGCCGTTTCATTTTACCTCTGCTGTCGTTATGGTCACCCGTTGCTGTGTCGTAGGGTGTAGTAGCGCAAGCTGTGACTGGACGGGGAAAAAAATCCCAAATGGATTGTCTTTTTACCGTTTTCCAACCTGGAGGCGTCTCAATGGAAAACAAATGTCCTCCATAACAAAGAGTCGCCGGCTAGCATGGGTCGCTGCTGTAAGACGGCCAAATATAACTTTCAACTCAATCCCAGTGTCCATGAGAGTGTGTCCCCGGCATTTTCATTCTGGTAAGTTACAGAACATACTTACCTTGGCTCTGATGACTGTGTTCTCATTCGGTTTGATTACTTCCATGTCGTGAACTTTTCCATCTGTCAGCTGTTTGTAAGCCTCTAGCGACTTGTAGCAGCGAAATTCTTCATGTGTGTAGGCACTGACGCCACACACTAGATAGGAAAATATGTCCTCCCTCGCAAACGGCGGTAGAAATTCTTCCCCAACGCACCAGTCCTTGCTTGCTACTTCGTAGGGATCAAGTCCGTTTATGAAGCCCATCTTTTGCAGATAACGGTCCCTGGCTTCCCTCTGCAGTGTGTCTCGGTATATTCCGCATCCTTTCTTCGCTTTTAACATCACTGTTTACTCGTCTTTGTGCTTTCTCTGTGCTGTTTTAGGTCTTTGTTTACCGTAGCAACTAGCTGTCAATATGGCGGCGTACCCAGAATGCAACGCGCTGTGCCCGTCCCCTATTCCCTTCTGGGAAGGGTGCATGTATTGAGCCAATATATATATATATAGATATAAAAATGTATACATTCTGTATTTTATTTTTTTTTCTGTTTTTTAAAAAGGGCTGTAAGTTAAGTTGGTCATTGTTTATTTTGTTTGTATTTGTTTATTTATAAAAATATATTTTTTATACATATATAAAAAGAAAAAAAAAATATATATATATATATATAGAGAGAGAGAGAGAGAGAGAGAGAGAGAGAGAGAGAGAGAGAGAGAGAGAGAGAGAGAGAGAGAGAGAGAGAGAGAGAGATTATTTTTTTACATTTATTTATTTTCTCTCTGTATAAACACTTTTTAAAAAACGGTTGTAAGGGAAGTTGGTCATGGCGTCTCCCCGAACCAGCGACAGTTTACGGCAGACATAAACCGGAAGACAGAGGCAGTAAAACAGAGAAGATGTCCCTCCATTGGTAAACACAAGTCGGTAACTTTGCGCCATTAAAGAAAATAAATCAAACATGGCGTCGAACCATGCTTTCGGAACGAAAATATCGTCATGTTGTCTTCTCTCGGGTCTTCCTATCGACTTGTTATAAAACACAGTGTTTATTGAAAATTTATAATCTACAAACATTAAAAAAAAACTTTTCTAGGTCGCCACAAGGGAGTGAAACGTATCCGCGGTGTCAGATAAGTCTGCGGACAGCTTTCCTTTACAGGGTGTTTGGTCAGAGAGCGTTCTAAAAACACAAACCCGCTCTGCCAGTTTATTCATTTTTCTGTGTCATTCTCATAAGCTAAGAAAAGGATAAACAATAAGACATTATCCTATTCCAGTTGCGAGTTATTAAAATAATAGTGAAAAGCTATACATTTGAAGAAATATAAGAAGAAATATAAGACTGCAGCAGTCACCATAGCAACGGAGGAGAGGGTAGGCATCATAGATCTCAGAGGGACACAATACCAATCATGTCTGTGGGGGGTGGTAGATTTCTACGAAATGTTAAATTATTTAATGCTGATTAAGTAATAAATATACGACTTAAATATTTTAATTTCTGATTTAGACTTTAGTATCACACCCGGGGTGAATCCAGCTGGACCTGATTTCATGCACACAGATGTGGCGCAGTCCACTTACAAAAGAGAACCATCACCAGTGACATTACCCCCACCCCCAAACAAACACACACATACACATCCCTCCGTCTGGTAGGTACCATTCTCAGAAGAGGGGGGTGATCCCATCCATCCACCACAAATCTGGTGCTCACTGTGGCAGAATTGCAGTGCACCGGACTGTACAGGGCAGGGTACCATCCAAGGCTTGCTGTCTGTGAGGGGTGGGGTTCGGCTACACTCATACCACCAAAAAACAGAAGCTTATAGAAGAAGACACAGAGAGGTGGAAAAAGACAGGAGGAAAAAAAAGAAAAGAAGAAAGAGAGAGACGAGAGAAGAGGGGGGAAGATTGCACCTGAAGAGGAATATCATACGGGTAAGGAGAAGGGGGGGTGGATGGAGGGAGAGGAGGAAGACAATGAGGAAAGGTCCAGAATAAAAGAACCAGATTTGCTCTTTTCTCTCCTCAGCTTTTTTTCTTTCTTTTCCATAACCCATCCGACATCATTTCTTTTAGATATCCTTCTATAAGCCTCCCTGTGCATATAACATCATCGTCTTACACCTGCCTCAGTGGCTGCAATCATTTGCTCCTAGCATTTAATTTTTTCTATGGTTTTCATGCACAGATTGGGGGAAATTTTTGAATAGTCTTGCCTAGTTGGCCTAATTTATGTTGCTTTGGCCTCGTCATAAAAATATGCTGCCTTTTGTCACTATAGAATGACATAATAAATCAGCTATGATTAATCTATGGCATAATATTGACACATATTCATAGTTTCTAACTGGTGATGTCCAGAATTAACCTTGCTGTGCAGCCAGAGCCATTTAACTTGAATATTTTTAAGATCTTATCATCATCTACATAAGGGTGCATCACTGTGTATCTGGTTAAAAAGCATGTAGCAGTGCACTAACAGGCCTAATGTTCTTTTCTAAACCACAAATATTGCTGTTTCTGTGGCCAGGATGAAAGGAGACACCCCAGTGAACAGCACCATGAGTGTCGGCCAAGCCAGGAAGCTGGTAGAACAGCTGAAGATCGAGGCTAGTTTCTGCAGGATAAAGGTAAAACAGATATAGTATTTTAAAATATCATTTAACTGTGTTTGCGTTTCCTGTCACAACTCAGTGTTTCAGATTATTTAACAAATGCTAGTATCATAGGAATATAGCCCAAATATAAAGAAAAAATACAGTTTTATTAATAGAAGGTAAACAAGCCAGCCTTTCCAACCAAACTAAACTTGTTCTGTAATGAAACTGGTACAATCAGCTACATTTTTGAAATCGTTTAACCAGCCACACCCTCTATAATTAAGAACTATGTAGAACCCGTCTGACAATATGAAATGGACTCTGATCTAAAGATTTCATAAACAGATGATAAGCAAAGACCTGGAAGTTAATAGAATAGAATAGAATAGAATAGAATAGAATAGAATAGAATAGAATAGAATAGAATAGAATAGAATAGAATAGAATAGAAAATCCCTTTATTGTTGCACAATGGGTACATTTCTGTTGTTTGCAGCAGCAAAAAAGTTTATAGCTGAAGGAGCTCTCCAGCTCTACAACAGCCTCATGCATGGGATGGGAAACATCAAGTTAATTTAGTACCAGCTATTACTCACACGTGTAAAAAAAAAACAAAAAAAACATCTAATAGAGTCAGGTTGCACCTTCTGATGACACCTCTAGAAGTCCTTAAACAACCTCAGAGAACATCTAATACATGATAGACCCAGTTAATGTTCATGATTCACCAATAGGAAAGGAACTGGGCAATAATGACACCCATGGGATCCTAAGGTCATTACAAAATTAAACAATATATGCTTGCAAATAATTCTGGGAGAATATTCGACTGAAACTAAAAGCTGGTGAAGAAGGCCTTACAATTGCTCCTCTGGACTCTAAACCCAGCTGTTTAAAAAACTTCTACAGCTGGAAGCATCTTGTCTGTCAAGGGGATATTGTTGTTTTCAAGCTCTAATGGACAGGATAGGAATAATTGAACAGGTGAGGACAGTACAGGACATTATTTAATGCTGTTTAACAGATTTAGAAGTACTTTATGCTACGTAAGTCCAGAAAAAGGGCTGGTTTGCCATACTGCCAACAGGAAAACCATGCAGGGACATTTACTCATAAATCCTAAAGCTGTGAAGCTTAGTGTCTTCCAGTTGTTGACACTCACATTCCTCACAAACAAACAACAAAACACTCACAAGGAAAGTCCCATACACACATAAACACCCCCTCTGACACCCAAATAGACCAACAGCCTATTCTATATAGACTTTACCTAAAAAAAGTTAAAAGGGTTTAGATTTTTTTCTTCTTTTTCTTTTAACTGTGTTTTATGTTTTTAATGTAATTTCTGTACGTTTTTGAGGTTATGACCGCTTTCTGCATGGGAATTCTGAGCTGGTCGTCTACAACAAAAACCTCATTGTGGTTACATTATCTCAGAAAAGAGAGTTGATTTATTTTTTTTTACATTTGGGATCAAATCAGCACATTTAGTACAGAAAAACAGAAGTGGCCTAGTCAAAGTAAAGACCACTAAAAAGCTGTAGCATGACCTGAAACAGGTTGCTCAAAATTCCCTTCATTTAAAAAAGGTTTGTGCAGTGGGCTAAAAATCATTACTTATAACAGAGTTATTAGTAGTTCTTGACATCAACTTAATGAGTTAGAGCGTTTATATGACATTTGCTTCTGTAGATAGAGCTAGATTGATGCGCTTCTTAAGAGATCAAATCAATTAAATCGGGTTATCTTTGTCTGACATAAAACCTGTTTGTTGGATTGAGACATTTACTTGTGAGGAAAAAAAATTAAGGAACATTAAATCAGAAAGGAAGCAGAAATATTTTCTCTTTACCACATTGGTTCAACACATTGTAAACTAATTTGACTAAAACTGCAGCAAGGTTCTTTTGACCTTCTCAGATGTACCTCCAGTGAACTGCAGCCCACTGGAACGTTTCCAAGCAGTTTATCCTTCTCTGATGTCCCTCGTGGCTTTAAGGAAACCTTTCTGAGGCATCGTATCATTTAAAAGATGAAAACCAAATATAAACCAGTCAAACCTCTCAATCTAAAAGCAAACTCATTATTTCATAAAGTCTTGTTAGGTTTTGTAAAACCATATCTTCCTCTTATATAGAGTTTCAGTCTAAATATACATATCATACAGGAAAGGCTTACATAGATATTTATTTAGATTTTTCAAAACAACAGTTTAGTTTTCCAGTTTTTATTTGATAAAAAAATGCAAATGCAATTGTTTTCATTTAGGATCCCATGTTCATAACTGTTTAAGATAAACATCGCATTTTTATGATCAAAATCTGGACCACGTAAAGTGAGCAAGATACCTAGAATGAAAAGCCAAGTATGAATTCAGGATGGGGCTCTGCCATGATGCTTTTCATTATTCTGAGTTATTATTAGGGCCGTACACAATGTGTGCAATGACACATAATAAACCTGTGACGGAAACAGACGGATGAGTACATTTTCTCAGTAGGCAACCTCAAGATAGTACAAAAAGAAAAAGCAGAGCTCAGGAAAAAATAAATCAGGGGTTGAGGACAGTGCCCTGCAGAAGGATTCAAACCTCTTAAGTCTGTATTTTATTTCATTATTATCATTTTAGATCTTTTCATGAAAAATAAGGAGAGAAAGCGATAGAAAAAACAAAAAGGTGCAGCCAAAAAGGAAAAGATAAAGCAAAAAACTACTATACTGAAACAAATCAAACCAAACCAAACCAAGGTAAAGTACTTGAGCAACGGTGTACTTTATGTTCGATCAGAAATATCTTAATGTTTGGATAAATGATTCAAACTACTACGTTTTTTCCTGACAAGTGTTATGCAGCAGTCGATTCAATCCGCCTCATTTTAAAAACACACACGGTGTCACACTTCCACATCATCAAAAATATTTTACCAAGCAGTTTTTATACTAAACAAAGCTGTAGATTTTGCAAAGAATTTATTTTATTTTTGTGGAGTTTTATGTCATGGTGCAATGGGAAAAAAATATATATATATAGGTTTAAATCCACTTAATGACTGAAACAGAAATGCCATCCCTTATATATACAGCTGAATGAAGTTCCAGCACCTTATTTAAATCTTCCAACAGTGGATGCACAATCATCACAGAGCAATGACAGACATTTCTGATTGTATTTCACCATTCCTTTGTCTAATTAGACGGAACACCAATATGTTCTGCTGCTTCCAACATGTCTAAGAAGTGTTCATGTTTACCTGCAGGTTTCCAAAGCAGCAGCTGACCTGATGGCGTACTGCGACGCCCACGCCTGCGACGACCCCCTGATCACCCCGGTGCCCACCTCAGAAAACCCTTTCAGGGAGAAGAAATTCTTCTGTGCTCTGCTTTGAGACAAATCATCAGGGATTGTTGTTGAATCAAAGTACAACTGTACAGTATGTACATGTATGTACAGTGTGTACTTGTACTTCCAACTCAAGCAAAATGTCGGTGTACTATAGTAACCTCACAACAACAAAAAAATAGCTGTCAATGTACAGTTAAGAATCAGCGTCAAAATATTTAATTTTCTTAAACTGCAACATTTCAAGGATTTGAGACAAAACTGAAACTTCGGATTAATTAAAATGCGATGAACCTCATGCGTTAAGTAACTGCCAAAATGGACAATAAACGAATCACCTGGTTTCTTTTTTTTTCGCTTCTTATGGACAAACATGGATATGTCACTTCTACATTTAGTTCATAGTTTAAGTGGTGCTATAAGCTCAGATTTGGAAAAAAAGGAGCCAGACATAAATTCAACATTTCATTCGGCGTCACATATATGCTGATGATATTCTGCTTTCTCTACCAAAAGGCCAAAACTCCTCGTTTTCAGCCTTACTCACACCAAGACTTATATATTTTTCATGTTTTGGCAGTTACTTGTTTAAATAAAAGAAAACAGCCATTTTAAAACTCAATCCTACAGCTCATTCATTTGTAGGGTTTGACAATATTTTTAGCATTATACTCATTTATAGTGTTGCTGTGGCGTGGATGTGGAAGCGTGTGTTTATGCATAGGTGCTAGTATGAAAATTAAACAACAGGTCCAAGTACCCGAGCACTGTAATTTGGAGGTTTTATAGTTTGATAGTGCACTGACCCATTATTGTTAATCCCAGGAATTATTCATGGACCTTTTATTTGTAATCGAAGCCGCAAAAATCAGCTTAGGTTAAGTCTGTTGTGTGAATAATATTCTATTTCATTAGAGCACAAATTAACTACAGCAGTTATAATCTATTGAAGTATGATGGTAGATTATATTCTGTCCATAAAAGGGATTATGTGGCCATTTAAAACAGAGGTTGTTGTGGAAACTGCATTGTATACAGTATTTAACAAACAAGCTGGTTCCTTTACAAATCCAAAACATATTTAAAACGATATCTGGACCCCCCCATCCACCCTACCCCCAGTGATTTACACTATTAAATCTGAAACTGTGGAAGAAAAGGTTATCCTGGAAAATGAAGCACTGAAATAAACTTCTTCTCATCAAAGATGAACTCTGTCTTGTTGTTGATTTTTTTTACTTTGTTTAATTACGAACACATAAAAGGCAGATCTTCAGTACAGTTTACATTTGGGGATATTTGAGCTAAGCAATCAGGTCATGCCTCACTTTCATTAACAGATCTCTATTTCTAACACCTAAATATGACATTTAGATGCATTTGCTATGCTAAAAGTAGAAAAACTGTATTGTGATTTATGAGTAAAATGCAAGCTGTTACAGACAAGTGTTTCTTTAGCCTTTTAAAACGAGATACTCCTGTGCAGAAAGTCTTTCACAGTGTTTGGGAAAGAGACTGTTACTTCGACATGTTTACTTAACAATTAAGAATCAGGTTAATTGGAGCGATGCACCAATCTAGTAGTTTACTAATAAAATCAAATTCCTGGGCTGAGCATAACGGCCAATACTACATACAGTCTGATACTGTTGAATAAATCACCTATATACCTTATGTCAGTAAAGCTGTTGAACCTGACATATTTTTTCAATTACATATTGAAAAAGATATAAATGTACTTGATGTAATTTAATACTGAATATTAGCAGCAAAAATGAATAAACACTTCTATGTTCACAGCAAATAGATATTATAATAGAGCATAAGCCTAAAATGTGCTGTTACTAATAAATTACAGCACAAAATATTAATATATTAACATTTTATTTTACATTACTAAATTAAGGGGAGTTATGGCCTAGTGGTTAGGGGAATTCCTACAACATAAGGCAAGTCAAATTCAACACTTTTTTAACACTTTTTTGTTCCCTGAAATAAACCTTTAAGAACGACTTCCCAATAAACACAAGAAACCCTGGTTGCAAAAAATTTAACCTGATGTTTATTTTAACATAAAAATTACTTTCTGGCCCAGTAGAAATGTTTATAATTTTGAAAAACTTTCCATATAGGAAGATGGTTTAAAACACACTAATGTCAGATATATTTTTAAAAACTAATGATTGGAATTCACAAACTTTGTTTTGATCCCTACTCAAAGTCCATAATAGCTCTGCTTTCATTGTGGGCGAACCTCCAAGAGAGATTTGGTGCTACTGGGCCTTTTTTTGTAGTCGGAGATGGCTGTAGAGATACGGGTGGAACAGAACTGAGAAATAGCTGCTGATTCTCTGTAACTTCACTTTAGTGCTTTGTTTTTCACTCTTCACATGTCTGACTCCACAGCTTTGATTCCCATAATGCCGAGCTTGAATGACTTCTTGCTCTAAATACGCCATTCCTCATACACATCACCTGGCTCCGGTTTTTAGCCATGCAGAAAGCTTTTGGCTGGATAGCCGATTTTTTATAGAATTTTTTATTGCATCAGCCCAAGGTGTATTTGCAACATAGTTTTTATTGGTTCTGCTGTCAGGATAGAACTAATAATGCTTCCAGCGAAGCCGTTCAGTAAATTTCAAATAATGATCATGAATTATTATAATTTTTAGATATGAATTACAAAAATAAAATCCTGTTTATGACTTGGTGACAATTTCAACAACTATGAAAGTCTGATTTAAGACATTTTAATACCAATTAAGGTCATATTTTTATATTGAAGAATTCAATGCCTTTTAAGACTTTTTAAGGATCTGCAGGGAACCTGTCCAAGCCCCACTCTCACAGACGGACACTCTGGCTCCATGAGCAAGACTCTTAAGCCCACACTGCTCCCCGGACGCTGCACAATGGTAGCTCACTGCTCCCCAAGGGGATGGGTTAAATGCAGTTAATTTTTGTTGCTCTCTATTTGTGAATGTGTAATGACAATAAGAGCTGAAAAAAAAATAAAAATAAAGGACTTTGTTATTCGTCTGATATCTTATCCAGCGAATTAAAACCTGAGCCAAGATCTGATCCGTGTATCCTATCTGTACATCTGTAGTTAGCTGTTTTATAAATCTTGAAAAAGCATGTTGAACATTATCGAATATTGGAGTGACCGACCCCATTGCATTCTTTCAACATTTTACAAATAAACTGTTAAATCTAAAACTGTAGAAAAGGTTATCCTGAAAAATTAAGCTCTGAAATAAACTTCCTGTCACTGAAGACACACTGTGTGTTATTTCTTTAAATGAACACGAGTCCTGTGTGAATGTGACACATGTCATTTATTGTTTTTTTTCAGTGAGATCAAAACGAACGGGCCAGTGTTTTCACAGATACCTCAATGACCATTTTCATATAGCTGTTGGTGGCGTCTAGATATCAATCTGCATTGTGATCGATATCCCAATTAGTGATAAATACATCTTTACAACAGCATGCGATAAGGCTTCTGACAGCTAAAAATTAACGAGGGTCAGAGCGAATCGTCACCTAAAAAGCAGTGCACAAGTGTTCGAGCTACAAGTCAGGTAATATAGTTTATCTGAACGGTTTCCAGGTTTGTTGCATCAGCATCTTCAGTCATGTACATTTCCCTCTCCAGGTAACCCAATGGGGATGTTCCTTCATTTTTTCAAGTCCAAACAGAAAAGATCAGTTTCTAAACTTTTCTACGACTTTACAGCTAGAACAAGAATCAAATCATTCCAGCTTTATTTTTAGCAGAAAAGGCAACTTTTTCTGAGTCGTCCAACAAAACAGCCTAACAAGGACTTAGAGCAGAATTTATTATTTAGTAAAAAATCCTTTTGTCAAACTTAGCAAGTGTGTTAAATGCAGGCAGCATCGCAGTTTTCTACAACAGCAGTGGCAAATGGAGCAAAACTGAACTTTTTGTTCGCTAACAAATGTTGTGGTAGAAAACTAATACTGAACATCGCCCTGTAGACAGCAGTTAGTCAGCATCATGCTTATCTTTAGCGGGAACTACAATTAAAAATAGTCCTTGTGAAAAAAAACCTCTGAACTAACAGTGATTTTCTACATGCGTGAGTATTAAGCACAGAATGGCAAATTTTCAATGCAGTTTACTTTTTTTTTTATATTTAAACAAAGGTATCAAGTTAAGCGCTGATCTTTATTCCAGACGATAAAACAGAAGTGTAATAACATTTAAAAGCCCTAGCTACAGTAAAAGGAGCAAAAACCACAACCTGGATTGTTCGTGAACTACAAGCAATACAGACAGTGATGGTATAGATGTGTTAACATTGGAAATTATTTCACCTGTTTTGCATAAAAAGGGCATTAAGAGTGAGTAGACATTAGAAGGTGTCATTACTGCTTAAAAGCTGAAACACACAGCTTTCATCCAACTCTACACGCTCAGATTCGACTCTTCAAACAGCTGCTGAGTCAATCCCAATAAAATCAGAGCCGATGTGTTTTGGCATTAACTTAAAACTGAGCAGGAATCTGTTGAATGGAAATAAAGGCTGTGTGTTACTTTAGTGGTTTAGTGAAAACTAGTGAGGATTTGTCGCAGAATTGTCTGGGGATAGCTGAGGAGGTAATGTACATTTCAGACTTCAGAAGTAAAAAAAAAAAAGAAAGAAAAGAAAGAAAGAAAAAAAGATCAACAACAGGATTTATAGGAAGGCGTCACACCATTCCTTAAGACAGCCGTAGCAGTCACGTTGCTGCTTGGCATTTGCTCCACAGGTGTCTTTAAGCCAGTCTTTGAAAAGCTCCTCGTCTTTCTTCAGAACTAGAAACTGGCCCAGGACAACGTACGCCTGGGGAGGCAGAAAAAAAACATGCACGTTAAAAAAAATACAGCATTAAACCGGTAAGGGAACCCTGTTGTACAGGAGCTTAAAAGCTCAAGCGTCAACAGGTTTTATACAACAGTCAGTTGGCCATTTTCCAACAATCTACCAAACAGAAAATGAGAAATAAAATGTACTCTTTCACATTTCTAAGCTAGGCCTGTCACTATCATCAAATTTATTATCATCTGGAATCCAAAAAAGGACTTCTAGATTATTTTTAAGATAACACATTGTGTCATAAATGTTCTGATTCTCCAGGAATAAGGCTCATTTGATTCCTGTCCTAATTCCTTTAAAAAAAGAAAAACGTTTCTTTTATACAAAAACATTCTTTCTGAAACTGTTCCATCGCTGCATTGTTTTATTACTGTTCTTTCAGTTTTATGTTCAGCCTCATCATTATTGTCATACTTAGTTTAGAGTTAATCATCTGAAGCAGTTTACTATGAAGCATGTTTGATTTTTTATTTATTTGTCTTTTCATTTCAAGAGAATGTGTTCTGTTTGGGAACGTCAACTCAACATTAACATTACAGGTATTTATAAAACAATACCTGTCCAAGCCCCCTGATGATTAGGTGGTCATTTAGGTTGTTTTGATTAAAAACATGATAAACAATGACCTTTGGGTCTTAGAAAACAAGCCCATTGCTGCACAACGCAGCCGTGGATCGGAATCAGCTAATTTTTTTCTTGGATTAAAAAAAAAAAGGTGATGAAATTTGTGAAATGATGCATAAATATGGACAATTGTAAAAGAATAAGAAAATACAAATATTAATTCCTTATTTGTTCGGAGTTAAAACAAAAACTTCTGTCCAAGACTTTACATACTTAAACAGCCCAAGCATAAGAAAAAAAATGAACAGGAGGGTTATTATCAGACTTAATTTGCAGACAGTATTGGACATTACAGTATTTTTCCAGATGCACAGTATTTATATTGTAAAAACACTGTACAGTACAGTATTTTATTTTTTTATTTTCTTAACTTTGTCACTCATTCTGTTATTTTTATAAAAGATTTTTAAGGTCCACATTTGTGTGACCACTTTTTCTATAATCTCTTGCTGCCGTAACACCACAATTTGCCCATTGTGGGACAATACAGGGATTTTCTATTCTATTCTAAACTGGCATTCAAAAGAACGAAAACACTTTAAAAAAAAAGGTATTTTTTAATACATGAAGAAATAAAAACATGGTCACCTTATCAAAGCCTTTTTCCTCCAATTTTTTGCCTAGGACTTCTCCGATGCCTGCTAGAGCGTTCACAGGCTTTTCCCCCATGGGTTCGGCGACGAACTCTTTATGTTTTTGGGATGTCGAAGACATGGCTGGGTCACAAATGTGAGGGCAGAGCTGCAACATGAAGGAGCACAAAGAAGACCAGTTGATAAGAAGTTCATTTTCTAAATTAAAATCATTCCTCTACCAAAGAGTTTCTTTTTAACAGGAGTAATTCATTGATATGGTTTAGTTTTTCTTTTTAATTATTACTAATAAAAATATAAACCGCTGATTGAGTAATTGATGAGCCTTATTAATCTCTCAGTGGGGAAAAATTTGTATGGGATATATATAGTACATACAGTGCATCCACATATGGCAGCTTTTTTTTTAAATAGGATCATTATACAGGGTTATTGCATAGGGTGTTTACATGGGTATTAACCCTTTATAGAGCAAGTTATTATTTTTCATCCCTTTCATACCCCTTTTAAATGGAGTCCCACCCGTCCCGCAATGAGGTCTAGAAGCACAAGATCTATATCCAGCCATTCAGCAAAGATCCTGCAACATGGCTGCACATCTTACTTTGGCATTTGGCCAATTAGATAATCTCTTGAATGATATATTAACTACTGTAAATTAAGTTGAAAAAAAAAAGGTTAACATGTCAAGAAAAAAAAATGGTAAAAAGCTAATTGAAAAGTTGAAAAATAAAGTTGAAAAGTTAATAGGCCTAGTTTTTTTTTAAAATAAGTGCATTTGTTCTTGGATTGAGTAAGCAAAAGAGACATTTTGCCAATGGAATAAGACAATTTACATTTAAAATAAGAAGACACAATTGCCTTGTCTTATTTCAAGTGCATTTTATCTAAATATCTAATTTTTAAAAGTAAAAATACTCCATTTGGGAAGCTATCTCATGTACCTACTCAAATTAAGGGTAAATACACTTAATTTAATACATTTTAACTTATTTCTAGATCGTTTTTCCAGTGAAATGTTAATTTTCAAAGTATTTCACTGAGTGCCCTATACAGGGTAAATATAAATGGATATTTATATTTATTGCACAGGGTATAAAATGGTAAACTGCACATTATACATTGCACAAGATAATACCGTTGTAGTGTCGCGTTGTGCACTCATCTAAGGAAATTTAATCATAAATGACACTTTAACACTTAAAAGGCTTTTCTGCTGTATTTATTGAAACATCTTTGTTGGTGGAGCTTGAACTACAGCAAATAAAAGTTGAGATCTTTAGAAACAGCGGATTAGTCCTTTAATCAAGCGCTGAATAAAAAAAAAAACAGGAGCAAAGTTCACTCCTAGTGTCCTTACAAGTCATTTATATCGTGTCTTCCTCCAACCACAGTGGAAAATGTTTCATTTCTTTACTAACTGATCAGAAGCTCCTGTTTCTCAGAAAGCTAGCTGTGAAATGGGCGCGCGACGTCCACAGCTCTCTGCTAGTTTCCAGCTAAACGTCGTTTTAACCAAACTTTATCCCGTAAATCCCGCAACCAAGAGGCGAGTTACTGTTTTCCATCATTTCCTAATCAATCTAAAATCTCACAGCGGGTTCAACATTTGAAATGAGCGCTTTTGAAACATGATGTAGCTCAAACGGATGGCGCCTTTTGGCTAAAATAGCAACTGTGTTTCTTTGCTTATTTTACATCTAATTTCCTTTCATATTCTGACTTTTTTTTATGATTATTCTAGAAACTTTTAACCCGTTTAAAAAGCCACGCAATTAAACCGCGAGAGAACCTACCTTATAGAGTCTTGTCTGGAATAAATGAAGCCGAAGCAACAAGCTGTTTGCTTTCAGTTTCCACCGGTACCCACAATGCACTGCGCCAGCGCCACTACGTTGGAGGGAATTCCTTACCCTGCGTGTGAACTTGCAGGCTTGCAGAGCGAACTGGTAAATTACGTTTGTAAATATTTTATAACCCTCATCTTATAAGAAAACCAACCTGAATTGACTGGACTGACCCCCAAAATGGGAATGACTAGATACTAATAATCCAACCTCAGCAGATTTCTAACCCTCTACTTTTCATGTTTACGTTATATGCGCCTTTTTTTGCAGCCCAGAGAACTCAATACCTCTTTGATGTTTTGGCTCCTGTTAAAAAAAAACTGTGGATTTAACGGCAAAAAAAAAAAAAAAAGACCCGTTTAGGCAAACTTCCATTTAGCCTGTTCTATTAATTGACTTTTGTTAGGTAGAATAAAAATGTATGTCTGTGTCTTTCCAGGGGGCTAATCAGGTTTTCACAATCAAATAATTACGACTTCAAAGAATGTCTTATTATTAAGCCTAGTTTTAACTCATTCATGTTTACATTCCCTTTTTCCAGCAGCTAAGTGTTTACTAGTTTGCCACACCTGTTCAGACCAGAATTGTGAATACAGTCTGTAAACAAATCAGCTTGCATTTATTTGCAAACGTTGCTGAACAAGTGTAGAGTGTAAAGCAGCAGAGCATTACTTTTTTTTTCTATACAGAAAAACAAATGGATCAAAATAAAGCACACAACAAGGAAACTACTCAAGTTTATTACGGTAACTATTAAGTAACAGTATACAAAGACTAATGGGCTGTCCTAGGAAGTTTTCTTCTTGTCATAATTGTGCGCATTAATCACCATCCTCCTGTAACTAGGCTCCAGCATTTGTATTCGTCTTTGGGAACAGGGCCAAGCTTGAGTGGGTATGAGGTGACGGGGATGGCGTGTGTTTAGAAGCAGCAGCAGCCTACAGCTCAGCTAGAATGTTGGAAGAGAGACTGCAGGTCAGGCCGGTGCCATCAGGCTCCACATTGATCATCTTCACGACTCCGTCTTCCACCAGCATTGCATACCTGAAAAACGTAAATCAGAACAGATTTAGACCGTAATCCAAAGGTCTATTTGTAGAAGTGTAAAGCTGAGTCTGAACTAGGGCTGCAACAACGAATCGATAAAAATCGACTTTTAAAAGCGTTGGCAACGAATTTCATCATCGATTAGTTGTGTCGCGCGATTATTGCGTCATCCGCCGCGCCGCCATCACTGCCTCTTGACTGAAAGAGGAAGAAAAAAAAAAAAGGCAGAGCGAGTCAGCGCCGCAGGTGCAGTGTTGCCAACTCAGCGACTTTTCAGACCCCTCCAGCGACTATTTTTCAAAAAAGCGTTCTAGCGACAAATCTGGCGACTTTTTTCGGTGTCACTGGCGGCTTTTGGAGACTCTTACGTGAAGGCATGTATCGTTCCTACTCTGCCGTGGGGCGCCTCCCCCACCCCAATCGTGTTTTCCCGCAGGAGTCCCTCTCAGCGCTGCAGTCAGAGCCTCAGCGCCCAGACTGCAAATGAAGCGCGCATGCACCGGGATTGACGGCGCAAATTGATCACAATAATTAAAATAGCCTGCGCTTTGTAAAGCGAAAAAAGTGATAACATGCAACTTTTTTCAAAAGAAATTAACATGGCACGGAACCACCATGTTTGTTTGGTTTTAAAGTTGGGAAACGTTACGGTAGTTTCTCAGGTAGCTCATCTGATGCTTTCCTTACCGTGTTAGTAGGTTACAGACAGTGATAAGGTTGGCTACTTATTTTACCTTTAATTTCATTTGAATTAGCTTAAGCAGCGTTTATATTTTCTTTATAAATAAATTAACTTGCAAATTATGAGGGCAAGGCTTTTAAAGTTTAAATCTTCTGGCGAAGATAAAGAAGATCCTGCAATTTATGGAAGTAAAGCAGAATAAAATCCAGCAAGATCAGTAATATGTCAATTAATTATCTGCCACATTCACATGTAAATATCTGTCTTTGGAGGATGTGTTTTTTAGCACCCCTAGTTCTCTCATTTTTATTCCAAATACAGTTTATAATTTGAATCACAGGCAATTTTTATCTCTATGGTTCAGTATTTTCTCAAGTAGCAACTTTAACTGCTATACTTTCCTGTCTTAAAAGGCAGAACTCTTCTAGTCTAAAAAAACTCATTTGTTGAAATGGGGGGGGCCTATTGTTTGAACCCCTTAGGGGCTTTTAAAAACAAAAATGTCTTTTTTTGCGCTTTATGAAACAAAGTAGCCTATATTTTGTGGATGTACATCTACATTTCTCATGTAAGTTTGCGTAGTTTTAACACAAACATTTATTTTTCATATTGCACCAGTACAGTTAACGAGCAACCTGTACTTGTGTGCTTGTTTGTTATGTCTAAAATGTTTATTTTGGAATAAAGAGGTTAATATAAAAAATATTTTTGGTCCGATTCATCGATTAATCGAAAAAATAATTGTCCGATTCATCGATTAATCGAAAAAATAATTGTCCGATTCATCGATTTTTAAAATAATCGTTAGTTGCAGCCCTAGTCTGAACCAATCATAAAAAGATTGTAAAATCATTTTATAAGTGTTCCAGAGATAATCAGAGATCAGATTGATTGCTTCCATGTTGGCTTAGCGATACTTTTAAAATTTTGTAAACCCTGCAACTGTTTGTCATATTAAAAAAAAAACACCATATTCAGTAAACAAGCACCCCATATCATGAAAGAGGGGTCTGGCTGCAGAGCTGCACTGTGAAATCTCTCCCACTGTTAGAACAGGAAGCTTATTCAAAGACTTTCAAAGTAAAAGCGAAGTTAATTCAAAGGCTTTCTAAAGTAAAAGCTAGCTTCTATAAACACCCCGGGAAGCCACCTTCTTTTCACAAAGAAGTGCTGTTATGCTGCAAACTTTTGTACAAGCGCAGTTTTACTCCCCACCAAACTCCTATCTGGTATAATAGATACAGGTGCTGGTCATAAAATTAGAATATCATGAAAAAGTAGATTGATTTCAGTAATTCCATTTAAAAAGTGAAACTTGTATATTATATTCATACATTACATACAAACTCATATATTTCAGATGTTTATTTTGTTTAATTTTGATGATTACAAATGACAACAAATGAAAATCTCAAATTCATCATATCAGAAAATTAGAATATTGTGAAAAGGTTCAAAATTGATGGCCCCTGGTGCCACACTCTAATCAGCTAATTAACTCAAACCACCTGCAAAAGCCTTTAAATGGTCTTTCAGTCTAGTTCTATAGGCTACACAATCATGGGGAAGACTGCTGACTTGACAGTTGTCCAAAAGACGACCATCGACACCTTGCACAAGGAGGGCAAGACACAAAAGGTCATCGCTAAAGAGGCTGGCTGTTCACAGAGCTCAGTGTCCAAGCACATTAATAGAGAGGCGAAGGGAAGGAAAAGATGTGGTCGAAAAAAGTGTACAAGCAAGAGAGATAACCGCACCCTGGAGAGGATTGTGAAACAAAACCCATTCAAAAATGTGGGGGAGATTCACAAAGAGTGGACTGCAGCTGGAGTGAGTGCTTCAAGAACCACCACACACAGACGTATGAAAGACATGGGTTTCTGCTGTCGCATTCCTTGTGTCAAGCCACTCTTGAACCACAGACAGCGTCAGAAGCGTCTAAAGAGAAACAGGACTGGACTGCTGGTGAGTGGTCCAAAGTCATGTTCTCTGATGAAAGTAAATTTTGCATTTCCTTTGGAAATCAAGGTCCCAGAGTCTGGAGGAAAAGAAGAGAGGCACTTCATCCACGTTGCTTGAAGTCCAGTGTAAAGTTTCCACAGTCAGTGATGGTTTGGGGTGCCATGTCATCTGCTGGTGTTGGTCCATTGTGTTTTCTGAGGTCCAGGGTCAACGCAGCCACATACCAGGAAGTTTTAGAGCACTTCATGCTTCCTGCAGCTGACCAACTTTTTGGAGATGCAGATTTCATTTTCCAACAGGACTTGGCACCTGCACACAGTGCCAAAGCTACCAGTACCTGGTTGAAGGACCATGGTATCCCTGTTCTTAATTGGCCAGCAAACTCTCCTGACCTTAACCCCATAGAAAATCTATGGGGTATTGTGAAGAAGAAGATGCAATACACCAGACCCAACAATTCAGAAGAGCTAAAAGCCACTATTAGAGCAACCTGGGCTATCATAACACCTGAGCAGTGCCACAGACTGATCGACTCCATGCCACGCCGCATTGCTGCAGTAATACAGGCCAAAGGAGGCCCAACTAAATACTGAGTGCTGTACATGCTCATACTTTTCATGTTCATACTTTTCAGTTGGCCAACATTTCTATAAATCCTTTGTTTTTATTGGTCTTCAGTAATATTCTAATTTTCTGATATGATGAATTTGAGATTTTCATTTGTTGTCATTTGTAATCATCAAAATTAAACAAAATAAACATCTGAAATATATGAGTTTGTATGTAATGTATGAATATAATATACAAGTTTCACTTTTTAAATGGAATTACTGAAATCAATCTACTTTTTCATGATATTCTAATTTTATGACCAGCACCTGTATGTGCTACATAGAAAAAAGTCTCTGTATTTGGATCACTGGATGGAAAAGGGCATTTGGTCTATAACAGATTTTTTGAACGACAATGGAGGTTGGCTGTCCTATGAGGATTTCTGCTTACCGTATAATTGAAAACGCTCCTATGCTCAGTATATTACAGTCATAAACTCAAGTCTAGCAGCAAACATGTGCTGCATGCAATTCCTGAAGGCTTCGAATACAACCTCCGAAATAAACTTCTGGTCCTGACAGTGCAGGAGACCCCATTTTGCAGGTCTGCAAACAAAGGGTCCTGACAATGCAGGTCTGCAGCCAGACTCTTAAAACACGAAGCTACCACCATCAGGATGATGAGCAGGGTTAGCTCTTCCTCATAGCATTTGTATTTTTAGGTTGATCTAATCAGAACACCTTCGTCCTCATGTTTCCAAACAGGACCTCTTCTGACTTTAAACGATGGCTTTCTCTCTGTTCTCTCCGACAGATTTTAAAACTACAGGTGATGCAAAGCAAAGTTATCTGTAGGCATTTAAAGTCGTGGGGAAGCGGCTGTTCCAACGGCTGTAGTTCTGTATTCTCCCAAGTGGTACCCGGCTTTACAAGAGTGAATAAAGTGAATGTGATTGGTCAATTATTAAGAGGGCAGGATTGTTGTGGCGGAAGGTTTGCAAGCTTTCGGTTGCGGCCGCTGTCTCGGAAGCATCTTGCTAACAAGTTAGCAACTTAGTGCTAGTAGGTTCCTAATGGGAAATTACATTGGGACCAAGTAGCACTGAGCAACGACACTGTCAAGGAACACTATGGACAGCAGTAACATGCAAGAGGAGGAGAGTTTTCTGTCGGAAGTGGATGAGTCTCCTCCATCATACATTTTTTATATAGAGGAGGAAAGCGGGGGCAAAGTTGTTGTGGAAGAGGACGCCAGGGCGACAGAAGCTTGATTTGGTGTAGAAGGCTTACAGCCATACATGATTGAGCCCTTGCCTCGCAACGCTGCCAGTTCTGTTAGCTCTACACCTGCTGAAGACACAGACGTCCATCCCCATGAACACTGGGACGGAACTCAATGGGAAAGGAAATGATTCTTATTTCAACTGTTGCGTATATTGGCTGCGACATATGAATCAAGATGCTATGACCGAAAAAATTTGATTGACAGATGACCGCTGATACATGATTGGCTGAATTTAGGTGTACAAAATAACGTATAACTAACTGGCCTGCATAAGATGACAAAAAAAAAACAAACAAAAAAACAGATTTTAAGAGGATTTTTTCTTAAATAGACATTTTCTAACTTTTGGGACGATATGGTCTGATAAAGAGTACATTTATATGCATGTTAAAGCCAGAATGATTTGAAATTTAAATATGACCTCCCTACGACTTTACAGCGTTAAATTCTTGTATAATCCAGGCGGTTCAGATCGTGATGTAGATGTGAAACTATTTGCATAGGTTATTGGCATTTAATTCAGAAATAGACATCTTAAAATGTGATGCACACAATAGGAGCAATTTCTGAGTTACATGCAATTTAATGTGACTTATATTTGTGTATTTATAACCCAGCTCTACTTTCTTTCTCTCATTCTATAAAGGGCAGATTTGTGGGCGGTATGACTCAGCCACTCCAAAGACTGCTTCTCCTATCTAGCATATTCAGCGATGGGTCCAAAGTTTGAAATACAAACTTCCCTCCAGAAAAAAAAAAAAAAAGGCTTTTACCGGGCAGCTGGATATTTTCTGAGCTCATTTAGTTACCACCCTAGGACTTCTGGCAGTAGTTTGTTGCTCTGGATTTTTAGGGCACTGAGGTAAAGGTTGTCAGCTAAAAGTGCAAACGCCTAATATAAATATACTAACTTCTTTAATATGCACCAGTTGCCTTTATTCATATTATTTTGGACAGAAGGAAGGAGATGATATTGGGAGAGAAATAGAAGACATTTCGTAAAGGTCAACAGGTCCAGGACTCAAATTAACAACAGTTGTCAAGGACTAAGGCTGCTGTAAATGGTCACATGCTTTAACCCCGGTGCTGCCGCATCGGCCCTTTTTCCATTTTTAACTCCACTCTATGATCATATGCTACTTTGTGCCAGTTTAAAACACTGAGTCCACATTAAATACCATGAATTTGCCCTTTTAATGTGAAAAATTCTAACTCGACTTTAGAAAAAAAAAAAATATATATACTAACTCAGAACTAAAAGTAAAAAGCAAAGCTTTCGATCGGATATTTCATAATGAAAAACAAATGGTTACCTTTTGGAGCGTTGGTTGCCCAGTACCTGCACAATCTTGTCACTGTCAAGCAGCAGGTCGACTGCCTATAGAAACACAAGAGCTAATGTGAACACAGACTTGAGACTCTGAGCCAAACGGGCATATTGGAGGCATTTATTTTTACCTTTGCAAATGCACCAGTGGGATCAGCCAGCATTCTAACCTGCAGAGGAAAACTGACAATCAAAACAAATTCCCCAAACTTATTGTGAATTTCTACATAAATTTGCTTTTTTATTTCTCCCTCTCAATCATTTACCTTTCCCTCTGCTCCATGCTCCTTTCCCCATGCAGCCATGACAAATGCATCATTGACGGAGATGCATGCCACCTCATCTATACCTTTACTCCTCAACTCACCAGCTTGCTGCACAAAGCCTGGAAGATGAGTCTGTAAAGGACAAATACGGTCAGCTGATGCAGAGATCAGTGGGCAGAGGAGAGGCCAAGCGCTGGTAATGGGTTGGGCTCACCTTAGAGCAGCCGGGGGTAAAAGCTCCAGGTACAGCAAAGAGGATGCCTTTCTTCCCCTTAAACAGCTGATCCATTGCTACTTTATTCCCTGGTTCGCCCTCATGAACCTCCACAGCAGGAAGAGCTTCACCAACCTGATGCCATTTAACATAAAAAAAAAAGTAAATAAATAAACTGGATCCAAGGATTTAAGAAAACAAGCATTTGTTCAATGAAATAAACACTAAAATACAATGTTGCTCCTAATTTGCATTTAATGAAAATAATAAATTGAGACTTGGTAAAATGTTAACTTTCTTATACTGTACCAGCTACAGGCACTTTTTTTTTTTTTTTTTTTTTTTTTTTTACAATCCAAGCATTGTTTTAATTTTTACCATATGAAAAACTATGATTTAATAAAAACTTCCTTTAATCTTTATAAATTTGTCAGAGTAGACACAAATATGGTTATAGAGGAAAATGTAAAGCAAGTGCAATTTCATAATAATTAAACAAATATATTTAATTTATAAATTCTGGTAGTTTGTTTCTAATGTGTTTGACAGGCACATAAATTACAGCAAAATCCACAACTAAATGACTTTTTTTTTTTAACAAATATTTTAAAAAGAAATTCCTTTTGAATGATTTGGATTGAAATTACGTGAATCAATTTTGATTTACTTGAAAATAAATTAAACCCGAGTAGTTGAAGTAATATGAATAAACTGCATTGATTCTAACAAAGAGTAACAGCAAATAATGAAAACAAACTTGTTTAGATGGTAAAACAAAAATCAGAGCGATAAAATTCCACAATACGCAATATCGGCTAATGGCCACTAGATGGAGACAAATCAACCCTTTCTTTCCCTTTTTTTAAAACTTAACTTTATTAGAAACTCTAAGGTGCACAGCGGACATCCGTTATGGTGAAATAATGCAAGAAAACAGGATACCATGAAACACAAAAAAAGTCGTTCATGAAAGTGCATATATTGGCTGTTATATACAACTTTTTTATGTTATTTGATTTTTTTTATTAAATACCGATTTCAAAGTTTAAAAAATATATTGGAAGGGTTAAAATATATTACATCATACTATTCCTTTGAGGCATGGTTACACCTTTTGTTAAGCAGGGTCACATCGATGATTTTTGTTGTCATTAACAAACCGATTAAGAGCTTTATGAGTCCCAGTACAGTCATCTTTGTTAAATACTTTATTGCATCACAGCTTAATTTACGTAGAAAATAAACGTGCATCGCAAAGGGCGTCTTTGAATAAAAAAAACATATACTTAAGAAACAGTTGGAAAAAAAGTCGTGCTACCTACAATTCTCACTTATTACCAAACGTTATGTCTCAAAGTTTGACGTAAGCGGATAAATCTGGTCTAGTATGCAAAGCGGTAAACAACAATATGCAAGAATCTCAGATGCGGCAGTCATGGCGACGGTATAAAAGTTAGCAATGCATGGTTTCAGCTGGAAGCCGTGCACAATCTAACTAGGCGTTTCACCGTACAAATCCGTGCCCCCCTTCCTTAAAGAACAAACGGCGTACAGCTAAGCTAACGTTATCTGTTACCTGAATCGGCATCTTGTTGAGCGGAGAACAGTGCAGCAGTCTGACGCACCAGAGGACCCTGGGGGTTTTAAGGAGGGAGCCTGTGATGGTTAACATGATGGCCCTGCCTTAGCTGCGCAGCTAACCAGCTAGCGTTTCGGAATGCGTCATGACGCCATGACGTCGCGTCACATTTTTCTTCTTCTCTTATTTTTTTATTGGCGGATGGCAACCAACTTAAGGTTCAGTTACCGCCACCTACCAGACTGGAGTGGTTATCAATGATGTCAGAGGGAAGTTATTAATTCATACCACGAATCTGCATATTATCTATCTATCAATATCCATACACACTCACATATAAATTAATATGTGTGTATATGCACATGCATACACACACTTATATTACTTTAAATACGATTAAATTATCCAGTGTTTTAAAAGAAAATCAAATTAACTGATTGCTAGCACAGTAAGTACAAGTCTCTGTACTGGTTCCCTATTCTGAATAGAACTATTAAGTCCAGCATGACCAATTCTAAGTCGAGATACGACTACCTCTTCTTTCCGCCTTCCATTTGTACAGCTATTACCCCCACAGTCTTGCATTTTATTTAGATCTCTTCAACTGTTTTCACTTGTACTAAAGTTATTTACTGTCTCAGACTCCAGCAAGCCTGTGGACGTGACCCACCCTGTAGTTGACATCTCTCAGGTTCAGGCCTGCTAAATTTTAATCACAGCCCAAATATTAGCTACCAGCTAAAAGCCTGTGGTAGGAGCTAACCCCATGATCCGACTGTTGCTAGTATGCAAAGCGGTAAACAACAATATGCAAGAATCTCAGATGCGGCAGTCATGGCGACGGTATAAAAGTTAGCAATGCATGGTTTCAGCTGGAAGCCGTGCACAATCTAACTAGGCGTTTCACCGTACAAATCCGTGCCCCCCTTCCTTAAAGAACAAACGGCGTACAGCTAAGCTAACGTTATCTGTTACCTGAATCGGCATCTTGTTGAGCGGAGAACAGTGCAGCAGTCTGACGCACCAGAGGACCCTGGGGGTTTTAAGGAGGGAGCCTGTGATGGTTAACATGATGGCCCTGCCTTAGCTGCGCAGCTAACCAGCTAGCGTTTCGGAATGCGTCATGACGCCATGACGTCGCGTCACATTTTTCTTCTTCTCTTATTTTTTTATTGGCGGATGGCAACCAACTTAAGGTTCAGTTACCGCCACCTACCAGACTGGAGTGGTTATCAATGATGTCAGAGGGAAGTTATTAATTCATACCACGAATCTGCATATTATCTATCTATCAATATCCATACACACTCACATATAAATTAATATGTGTGTATATGCACATGCATACACACACTTATATTACTTTAAATACGATTAAATTATCCAGTGTTTTAAAAGAAAATCAAATTAACTGATTGCTAGCACAGTAAGTACAAGTCTCTGTACTGGTTCCCTATTCTGAATAGAACTATTAAGTCCAGCATGACCAATTCTAAGTCGAGATACGACTACCTCTTCTTTCCGCCTTCCATTTGTACAGCTATTACCCCCACAGTCTTGCATTTTATTTAGATCTCTTCAACTGTTTTCACTTGTACTAAAGTTATTTACTGTCTCAGACTCCAGCAAGCCTGTGGACGTGACCCACCCTGTAGTTGACATCTCTCAGGTTCAGGCCTGCTAAATTTTAATCACAGCCCAAATATTAGCTACCAGCTAAAAGCCTGTGGTAGGAGCTAACCCCATGATCCGACTGTTGCTGAGCTATTGTTTAGTTTTAGATGTTTAGATATGGAGATCAATTCAGATTTTAAACCTGGTTTCCCTTTTTACTCTTAGAAGCTGCAGAGGACATGAAGAATGGTGCAGAGACCAAACTTCCAGCAGAACAAGCACCCTGAGGAATGGCCCCAAGTTCATACCTAAATCCAACTGAAAATCTGTGGTAAGACTTAGAGGCATAGTGGAGGATTCTTGCTAATTTTTGAAAAGCTCCACCCTATACACTTAAAAAAAAAAGAGGGAACGACCATTAAAAGCATGAGAGAATGCACAAGCCCATTTCTTCAAGTTCACGCTGTGTTTAGAAGTTGCCATTTGCATTGTTCATACAAGCTTACTTTCTAAAAGATTTGCAATTGTTCCACCATGTCAGACTCACCAGTAAGTGAAAATGGGGATGAGCATGAAGGACAGCCTTACGTAAACATATCAGAATAATTGACAATTAGGAGGACCACTTATTTTGATGAGCATCCTTCACTCTACTTTTAAGAGATTTATATTCAGACACTTTCCATCCAACCTAACCAAGCTATATTAATATTGTAGAAGCTGTGAGAAGTCAATAAAAGACAGGAAATGATGTGTGTTTTATACCAGAAAAGGCTAATCGGTTTAGAAGGCTTGGCTGGAAATACGCTGTCACGACACAGCAGGACATTATGTACTTTCTTTTGTGTATAAGAAGTTTAAAGTAGAATAAATAGGCTCTGGATTTATGGAGCATAGTTTTAAAATTACATTTTTACCCTGTCACCCCAGCAAACGCGGGTCAACCATGAGATTCTGGTTAAGAGATATGCCAGTGGCTTTAAGCTTCGGCTTAGCCCCTTCAGAAATAAAAATAACACAGGTCACAATCTGTTTCAGTAAAAAAAGTGAAAGGGTTTTAGTGTTTCTAATTAATTGCTGCTATATTTATATCAATAAGGATTAGTGTGGATTATTTACGCAAGAACAACTAATATAGGTTTATTGTTATAGATGATTCCTTACCGAACTCTTGGATAATCTTAAGAAAATAAATTAAAAACTTATTTCACAATGAATAGCTATGTAAAAAAAAAAAAAGAATAAAAAGAATAAAAGAAAATGCTTTGCACCTGAGAGCAATATAATCAGGAACTTACACAGGTCATTTCAGAGACACAAGGCAAAACAAAAAAACAGATGGAGACCAACTAAAGCCAAATTGATTTAGCGGAATGGGCCGATTGACTTTAAAAGGATTGCATTAACACCAAGGCTTCCAGTGTGGACGCCTGCATGGGGATGGTCAGCGGGTGTAAAACACAACAGCACACACACCTACGCACACATCCACAGAGATATGAGACCAATGATATGTGGTGGTGGTGTGTCCGTTTATTACACAACACAAAGCACCTACAATTATCCACTCCCTGCAGAGCCAGACAGTGGAAGATCCTGTTTTTTTTTTTTGTTTTTTTTTCACAGTGGATTTAATGTGAACATGTTTAGACAAGGACATCAAACTCTTTACCTAAATAAAAAAAAAAAGCCTACACAGAAATTTACAGCCAGTATAGCACACAAAATTAAAGCAGTGTCAACAAACGACAGTAAATTGAGTAAAAAATAGAATTTAATCATTTAAATACTCTTTCAAAATACAAACATTGATTTGAATTTTTCTAAATTAGATAACATTAAGTCGTTTCCATAATTATAACTGGCAATGTTGAATGTACAAGGTGGCTATACAAGGAAATGTGTGAGGTTTGGTAATTTGTTGTATTGCTCATTTATATTAATGTGCACATTAGTAATAGAACCTAGAAATGACTGTATAATTTGAACAGTGACACTAAAAGCAGTCTATCAAACCCCTCCAACCCACTGTACCGCAAACACGCAGGTATACTCGGAAAGATAAACTCAACTCCATCTTTGCATATAGGACCAAAACAAGAGAGGATGGAAAGAAAAAGGAAAAAGTCAAAATCCAGCGTCCCGCTGCTAATGTAGCACATCGTTTTGCATCTATTAAAGCAGGATTATTACATCGGAAAAATAATGCAAACAGAAATAAACTCAAGGCTCAACAAAGTCACTATACCCGATATCAAAATGTTTGCTTTCTTTTCTCCACAGTTGGTTGGCCATGTGGCTGATGCTGCCTCCTGAGGTAGCCTTCTGTAGCCTCTCTAAGCCGCTGCATTATAGTGCCATTAAAAATTGATCCCTAAACTAAAAAAAGATTACAGATCACATGTGAAGCGTAATTTTAAACCCACGAGAGTCACAATGCAAATACCCTTATGTCCTAAGAGGGAAACTATGAAAACTAATTTTCAAATCTTTACAAACATCAGCACACAATAAGCTGCACAAATATTGTGATGGGGGAATTAGTATTACATCTGCTGGCTTCATTAGCTTCCACTACAAATTGCATGGTTATTGAAATTGAACTGTACATAGCTAAAAGAGTGCTGACCGTTTGGTCTCTAAATAGTTATAGGGATCTGATTTTTATTTTCTTAAACATCAGATGTTTTTTTTTTGTTTAACTAAATGATAATTTACACTGACTATACAAATATTTCTAATAAAGAGTAGGACCTTCCACACGTTACCAGCAACATCCTAAAGGAAGATGTTGTATAAGCTGAATGTCTTGCAGCTCTGAGCTCCGTTCAAGGGCGCCGGTTCAAGTTCAACAGATGTGCATCCAGAGGAGGAGGAGGAGGAAGAAGAAGGAGGAGGAGGATCTCAAACTAAACAGTTCAAGATCTTTTATGCAATGTTCATCGATGCTGCAGAAAATGCAGCAAAAAAAAAAAAAAAGAAAAATCTCACCACACACAATAGCAGTCATTTAGTTTAGTGTTACAGCCTAAATATGAAAGAAGTGTTTCTCTTTTCTTTTAAAAGACACAGCTGCAGAGGTCAAAGTGTGGTTGTAGTGGAGGGTGTTGGGGTGTTACAAAAACAAACAAATGAGGCTGATCCCACCGCCAAAGCTATAATGTTAAAAAAAAAGTTGCGTTCTTCCCTGATCTCATATTCCCCATCGCGTGCCATCAGTGCCGCAGGACGACTTTTAGCTGTAAATCCAGAACTTCTCCGTGGCTTCAAGTTAAATAACCCTCATATTCAACTTGTATAAAGAGCTGCAGTCTTTCCCGTATTCCTAGAATACGAGATGATCCAATTAAAAAATAATAAGCACTTGGGGTGCAGAGTTTGGAGCACAGCCGATGACGCACAAATACTAGTGAAAATCTTGTTGGTTTTAATCTGGATTTTGAACAGTATTGCTTTTAACGTATTGCAAGTTACTCCTATGGTCTGCCTACAACTCCGGTTGCCTCACCCTGCCTCAAAGGACCCTCAAGTTTGATGCCA